GCAGGCTATGGATCCTGCAGTGCTCTGCACAGGAAGCACCCTGGTAAGACAGTTGAAGCTGCCACGGGTGTGGACTAATGTATTCCCTGGGCTCTCCATGCAAAGTGTACCCTGACAGAACAGTTGAGGATGATGTGGTTAAGTGCCAGGGTGTCCCAGAGTCCCCAGTGCAGTAGGTGTGGCGGAGTGACTGGAGCTGATGTAGGCACAGGATGGGAGGACTGGGGTACTCCACGTGGGGCGGGGGGGGCTCTTGGTGGGGTTACTGAAGTCAAAGCAGGCATGATCAGCTGGGAACTCCTGGAGCATTCTGCACTGGAGAAGCCCTAGCAAGCTGGCTGAAGTTGAAGTGGTGCAGGCATGGAGTGTTCTAGGGTGCTTTGCCCTTGAGTCACATTGGTGCAAAAGCTGCAGGTGTACTGACTGCTGACTGGGGGGTTCCAGTGTATAGCAACCTGTAGCCACCTTGGTAGCACAGCTGGGGCTGGAATGGGTGGGGGGACCCCAGTGCTTGCTATGGCAGCAGGTTGCTTAGGGCACCTAGACCCTGCTTCAGTTTAGGTTATTAAGGTAGGGGGGAGTATAAACCATGGCTCTCACCAGCCCCTCTGACCGGCAGCCTCCTTCACTGTTCGGTAGAGTTCTAGGGCTGGCTCTTGTATATGCTAGTTGCTTTAAACTGTGCTTCTACTCTGTGGCCCTGAGTGTACAGGGCTGGGGTGGGCTAGGGGACCTGGGACTCATTGAGGCAGCAGGCCAATATTAGATCCTGCAACAGTCTCCATTCCTGATACGGAGGTGGAGTATAAACCATGGCATTCACCAACCCAGAGAGAGTTTCAGCATCTCCTCTGGCCATTTGGTGGAGCCCCAGGATTGGATCTCTAATATACTCATTGTTCTTTTAAATCATGCTTTTTTATTCCATGCCCCAAGGCAGATGAATCTGTTCATAGTCCCTCAGTATTATACCAGCCACTGCAGTTCACAGCTTTGGGGATGGGTATTTCCTTCATGATACTGTGGTCTGTCTCTTCTGCCATTTTCTTTTGCTGTCCACTCATTTGTGCAGAAACTGTTCAGTCATCCCTCAGTTCTTCAGGAGGAACTACTATATAAATAAATGTAAATTTGGTGTGTTTATGGAGGTCTTCCTACGTGGCTATCTATCTTGGGCCAGAACCCCCAAAGTTGGTTATTTTCATGTGAAAAGGTCATGGAAACATTTCCCTTTTCCCCAGACCTTCATGATTATTCCTGGAAGCTTTTTATGACTCCTAGCTATTTGTTGATCTCATCCCTCATTGATTTCAAACTAAGTATAATAATTCTTTTGTGGACCAGTCATGAACCTATTGCAGACAGCAGAAACTATTCTAGTTATTTTTAACACAGCATAATTTAATATTAGAGAATTACATGTTTACAAAATAGCTTAACGGCCTAGAAGAACAGACTATGAGTTGGGCATCCAGAGATATCTCCCAGAACAACACAGGAGAACTTGGCTGTCAGAGGAGCTCTTCTTGCTATAGTCTTTGCCCTCTGTTATCTGAAAAAATACCACCACATTAGCTATAGAACTTGAGTCAAGAGAATGATCCAGAGCACTGTGTACCTATCAGATCTCCTCTAGCAAAATAGAAGCTGCTTCTACTACTGCCTTTCTGCGCCATTAAACTTACCCAAATTCAAGTCTTTTATGAGTATACTGAATGGAGAGCATCCAAAAAATATGTAACCAAAAAAGTAAAGTCTAGGACATTTTACATTCTATTTTAAAAATCATGAATATAAGCCATATGCATGGTAAAAATATTCAGGCTATAAAAACTCTTCTCCTTTCTCAAATATCTCCTCCAGTTCCACTATCATCATGTTGCTTCCTATTTCACTAAAACAAAAAGAGAACTGCTCAAGCTCATACCACTACATCTACCCATATACCTGCATCTGGGACCATGTTCCCTTTCTTCTCTCCAGAAAATGGGTCACTTGATCCTGTTCCTACAGACATCAACTCTCCCATCGGTGCATCAGAATCCATCCTCTATGCTACTAAGACACTTATTCTTTTTTCTCTCTTTTGTATCATGAACCTTTTCTTCCCAATTGGATTCTTTTTCCACGTATATAAGCACATTTCTTTCATATTAAAACTTCATTGCCTTTTCCCCTCTACATGTTACCTCATTTCCCCCCCCCCTTTTTTTTTTTTTACAGAACAGCTCCTCAAACATTGTTTATTTTTAAAAATTAGTAGACTTTTCTATTGTGATTTTAGGTGTACAGAAAAGTTGAGCAGGAAATACCGAGTTCTCATACACCCTCTGCCCCCCACTACACATACATATGCTCCTGTATTAATATTTTTTAATCTTTATTTATTTACTTTTGAAAGCAGAAGCAGGGGAGGGGCAGAGAGAGGGAGACACAGAATCTGAAGCAGGCTCCAGGCTCTGTCAGTGCAGGGCCCAATATGGGGCCTGAACTCATGAACTGTGAGATCATGACCTAAGCCAGAGTTGATCGCTTAACTGACTGAGCCAGCCAGGCCCCCCATTAATATTCTGCATTAGTGTAGTGCCTCTGAGCGGCATTTGACATTGTGCACCAATGTCATCGTCTCCTTTCCATACAACATCACTCATCATCAGGGAAATACAAATCAAAAATACAAATCAAAACCACAATAGATATCACCTCACACCTGTCAGAATGGCTAAAATTAACAACACAAGAAGCAACAGATGTGGTTGAGGATGCAGAGGAGAACCTGCTTACACTGTTGGTGGGAATGTAAACTGGTACAGCCATTCTGGAAGACAGTATGGAGATTCCTCATAAACTTGAAAATAGAACTACCCTACAATCCAGCAATTGCACTATTATGTATTTACCCGAAGGATACACAAACACTGATTCAAGGGGACACATGCACCCCAATGTTTATAACCAAATTATGGAAAGAACCCAAATGTCCATTGACTGATGAATAGAAAAGCAGATGTGTAATACACAGATGTGTGTGTGCCCATCTATCAAGCTATAGTGTATTATGCCAAGCAAAACCAGAGAAAAGATAAATACTATATGATTTCACACATTTGTGGAATTTAAGAAGTAAAACAGATGAACATAGGAGAAGGACGAGGAAAAAAAATAGGGAGGCAAACCTTAAAAGACCTTAACTACAGACAACAAACTGAGGGTTGATGGAGGGGAGGTGGGTAGGAGATGGACTAAATGAATAATGGATAATAATGAGGGTATTTGTGTAATATTACATACAGTATTACACTATGTGTTAGCTAACTAGAATTTAAATAAAAACTTGAAACAAACAAAATAAGATCCTCAATGACTTCCATCTTAGTTAAAGAACTAAAAATATTTCCTTTTTACTTATAAAAGTCTATATGACCCTGTATGTATGCCCCAACTCCTACGCCTTTTCATTCTCTGATCTCTTATCCTACTACATCCCATCTCGCTGACTCTGTTCAACCCTACTGGCTTCTTGACCCTTGAACATGCTAGGCTATTCCCTCCTTAGGACCTCTAGCTGGTTTTCTCTGTCTGGAATGTGCTTTCCCAGGATATTGGCATGACTCACTTCATAGTTTTTTTCAGACCTTTCTGCAAAGATCACCTTCCATGTGAAACCTTTCCTGACTACCATATTGAAATTTATAACCCATTTCCACAATATACCATATCCCCCATCTGTGAAATACTTTTTTTCATAACACTTATCATTTTTTAACACAACCTATGTCCCATATACATATTTTATTGTTTGTCTTCACAATGTTATATATCATGAAAGCACAGATTTGTCTACTATTGTAACAAAGAAGGTGCCTGTGAATATTTATTAATGAATTAAAGAATAAAGTGAAAATTAAATCACTCAGAAATACCTAATATTAAAATTTTGTCAGTTTACATGTATAAATAAGTTACAATTTTTATTAAAATTGGATCATATATGGAGTTTAAAACTTGTTCTTTTAGTATTAAGGTTATATTTCAAGTAAGTACATATAGATCACAATACTCTTTAAATAATCTATTATTTATCATTTTTGATACTTAAATCTCTGCTTTAAGTTTATATTTTTGTTATTTTAAGCTAAGTTTATATAAAAATGTTTCAAATGCAACTTTGCACAATTATTTATTTTCTGGGAATTTTTAGAAGCACGATTATTAGGTCACAAGGTATAAACACTGACATATAGAGAGATTCTATCAATTTAATTTCCCACCAAAAATATATGAAATTATCTGTCCTCATTATTTCTAATAGTAGTATTTGGTCTCTTTTAAAGATGTGCCATTTGGAAAAGACCAAAGTATTATATTTAGTAGAGGTTTCTATTTTAACTATTATAAACTGTGTTCATTGATCAAATATATTTTTTCATGTATTCAGTTCTCAGGTGAATTGCTTTACTTTTAAAAATAGGTGTCCATCAACAGATGAATGGATCAAGAAGATGTGGTTTATCTATACCATGGAATACTACATGGCAATGAGAAACAATGAAATCTGGCCATGTGTAGCAACATGGATGGACCTTGAGGGTGTTATGCTGAGCGAAATAAGTCAGGCAGAGAAGGACAAATATCATATGTTTGCACGTATAGGAGGATTAGGAGGAACTTTACTGAGGATCAAGGGGGAGAAGAAGGGGGGAAATGGTGGGGGAAAGGGAGAGAGGCAAACCATGAGGGACTCTTGAATGCTGACAAAAACTGAGGACTGATGGATGGGGGGGGGATGGGCATGGAGGAGGACACTTGTGGGGATGAGCACTGAGTGTTATGTGGAAACTAATTTGACAAACTATTTGTAAAAAAATAAAAATAAAAGGTGTGTTCATTTTATCCATTTGATTTGTAACACTATTGCCATATGGAGTAAATAAACTCTGTCGTTTATATTTAGAGCTTTTAACCAGTTTTTAAAACCAGGATTTCTCATTCTGATTTAGATGGAGTTGCATGAGTTGCATTTACCCTCCTGCTTAGGGCAACAACAAATCTACAAAATGGATTTCAAGACACTGAACATCAGGCAAGAGATGGTAAAACCAAAAACCAAACAAGGTAAGTTCTATGGTTGCCTAACTTATTTTCCTGAGAGAATTTCTGGGAACAATGAAGAACAGAAAACTTGGAGGAGTCTCTGTTAAGGAGAAGTGCCTGAATTTCTAGGGGGAGAACTCAACATGTACAATTTGCAGGACAGAATGCCAGAGAGGACTGTTCTTTTCTAATATGAGCATTTAATGGCATACATTTTCCTCTAAGCACTGATTTAGATGCATCCCATAAATTTTTGATGTCATGTTTCCATTTTTATTCATTTAAAAATATTTCTATTGTGATTTCTTATTTTGAAATACACTATTCAAAATAAACAAAATGTATTTTGAAATATATTTCCAAATGTTTGGGTTTTTCAGACTGCTTTCTCTTACTGATTTCCAAATCAATTAATTACATTGTAATTAAAACACATTATTTTGCATTTCAATTCTTTTGTATTTATTAAGGCCTTAATATTTCCTAACACTTTAAAAGAAGTTGTTTACTGCAGTTGCTAGATGTCTCAATTAAAACAAGCTAGTTGATAATGTTGTTCAAGTCTTCTATATCCTTACTAATTTTCTGTCTAATCGTTCTTTCATTTACTGAGGTAGAGGCATTGAAATTTCTCTAGTTTTCCTTTTAATTCTACCAGTTTTTGCTTGTCTCTTATTATATGCATACATATTCAGGATTGTTATTTTCTTTTCTCTTGAGTTACTGACCTCTTTGTCATTTATTCCCTTCTTTCATAATATTTGTCTTTCATAATATTACTTGTACTGAAGTCTACTTGGTTGATTTTAATATACCCATTTTGGAATTTTAATTCATGTTTGTATGATTTTTTGATTTTTAAATCATTTGTATCTTCACATTTGAAATGGGTTTCTTGTAGTCAGGATCTAACACCATCTTTTTTTTATCAATTCTGAAAAAATCTAATTGGAGTACTTAGGCCTGCACCATCTAATAAGGTAAGTACAAGCCACATGCAACTATTTACCACTGAAGTTCTGGCTAGTCTGACCTGAGGTGTGCTATGTATACATATCAGATTTCAAAGACTTAGAATGAAAAAGAATATAAAAAAGATTGCATCGACTATATATTGAAGTAATATTTAGATACATTTTGTTGAATAAAATATTTTTAAACAATTTTCAAGGGTTTACTTTTTAAAATGTGGATAGTTTTTATGTATATTTGTGGCTCACTTGTAGTTTGCAATATATGGTTTATTCCATTTGGTAAAAATGGAATAATATATGGTATTATTCCATAATACATGGTTTATTTCATTTATACTTAATGTACTCATCAGTATTGTTTATAAATCTATCACCTTGTGCTTTTTTTTCTATTTTTTTCCCTCTTTTCCTACCTTGAGTATTTTAGGATTCCATTTTATATCTATCTTTAATCAGCTATATTGTTTTTTCTCTTCTCCAAGTTCTAGGAATTATAATATATATTCTTAATTTATATATTACAAATTAATATAACTTTAACTAAATTGTAATTTGGAATAGTATATTTCCATTTCTACCTTCCTGTTCCTTTGTGTTACTATTTTCATACATTTTGTTTGCTATACGTATTATAGAACCTATAGCATATTGTTACTATTTTTGCTTTAAAGAGTTTAAAAATGAGAACAAAATCTTACACATTTACTCATATATATTTAATATTTTATTATTTCTTCCATCTGAGATCATTTCCCTTCTACCTGAAAACTTGCCTTTAGCAAGACCACTACAGGTCTACTTGCAATGCATTATATTTTCAGCAATTCAGTTTCTGAAAACTCATATTTTTTTGAATGACTTTCTTGATAGAAATTCTATAGAATTCTAGGTTGACAGAGTCCTGCTACCCCCACCTTCTTTTAAATGTTTCAAATATCCCACTCCATTGCCTTTTTATTTGTGCATACTTTTGGGATTTATCAGCAGAATGACTACTAAATCTGTAGTCATGCTTTTATCTATCTTTGTTTCTTCCTACTGTATCGTGTATTACCTTTTCGCTGGCTTTTTAACAATTTTTCATTTTATCATTGATTTTCAGCAGTTACATTATGATATATATAATAGTGATTTTCCCTATATTTTTTTGTTTGGATCTATGTGAGAATAACTTTTATCAAATTTGCAAAGTCCTTAGCCATTACTTTTTCAGTTCTTTTTAATAGAGTGTGAGCCCAGGAGGGGCAGAGAGAGAGGGAAACAGAATCTGATGCAGGCTTCGGGCTTTGAGCTGTCAGCACAGACCATGATGCAGGGCTTAAACCATGAAACCATGACGGGAGCCAAAGTCAGATGCTCAGCTGACTGATCCACCCAGGTGCCCCAAAGTATTATTTCTAATTTCACCTGATTTGCCTCTAGACTAGACAGACTTTGGAATTATTTTGTTAACTCAAAAAAAATCTTATTTAGAATTCATTGATACTTACTTGCTGGAGGAGGTCAGGAAAATGGTGGAACAAGAGGATCCTAAACTTAACTTTATCCTATGGACCTAACTCTGAGAAGGGCAGAACAGACCTCTACAGTTAATCATATAGTAAAGAGGCCACACTGAAAAGAATAGGAGCCACAGAGATGTGGTTGGAAACCAAACCTCTTTAAGAAACTAATCGTCCATGGGAGGGAAACCACAAACATGGAGTAGTGAGAGGATTAGACCACTCTTCAGGCACCCCAGACACCCCAAGCATGGGGGACTCACACTAGGAGGAGGAGTGGGGCTTAACTCCAAGTATTTTAAAAATGAGTGGGCTTAGCTCTATAACCTCTAGGAGTGCTGGAGGGCAATAGGAAACTGAGTTACCATAACATATAACCATATAGCCAGCGTAAGAAATAACCAAATGAAAAACACAACATAGATACAGTAGTTTGAAAAGTACCTGGGTATATATGAAGGAGATTTACTTACTAATCTAGGAAAGGAAGGGAGGTTTAGAAGATTTCTCCAAAAATAAAAGTGCTGATGGACACCATTTCTCTTCTCCTCCTCCAACCTAGATAGCCCAGGTACTTGTGGGAACCAGCATGAACACTCTTCACCTATCTTGCTAGTATGTTCCCCACCCCTGCATTCCCAGCCAGACCTACCCACTTATGGGGTCCCTGTAAAGCAGCTCCTTACCTGACATGCCATGCAGGCAGCCCCAGCAGAGACTGGGACTGTTGGGAAAATAAAGTTATACCATAAGATGGCTGTTAGGGCTAACAAGGGAACTCCAGTCCCTACCTAGAGACTCCTCTTCTGGGTTCTTCCTGCTCTGCTTGCTGCACATGACAAATTGCCAGGAATGTGGAAAAGACAAAACCATAAATTACCTCGCCTGCTTGTGCGTGGCTCAGACCTTTGGAGTGACTGTTTCCTCTGAGGCCATGGATGTAAATAAAACTCCAATCCACCAGGATCTCTGAGTGCTGCTTGGTTTCTCCATCAGCGATCTAGCCTGGTGGTGTAACAGTGCCACCTCAAAATGACTCCTGTCCTGGGGAACGGGGAAGATAACCACGTATATCAGAGTGCCCACAGTTCCAGCAGCCACGCCTTTTAACTGGAAACACAGGGAGAACACCCTCTGATTCAGTGTGACTATAGCCCTGGCAGATGGACTGGGGGCAGACAACTGGTCTGAAAGCCAGGCCCACTAACAAACAAAAATCTCTCAGTGGGCACCCCAGGGAGAGTGTCCTGCAGCTCCTTGTGCAAGTAACTGTAACAGACTGACGGTGAGTACAGACAGCTAGCCTGACCGCTGACACTCCCCAACTATAAGCCCATGGAGGCCTCAGAACTCTCAATAGCATAAGACCAAACCCTGCCCTATGTACCCAGAGCAGGCAAAGTGGGTCACTGCAGCCAATTGAACTGAAGGAAACATGGCTCAGCTACAACACTGGGCTGCATGGACCCATAGAAGACACCCCTGGAAAGCCCGGTTCTGATGACCAGGGAGTATTTGCATTACAAGGCACTACCTGACTTTTTCTTCACAAGGGCACTACATTCAAGATCAGGATTCATAGCTGACTTTCCTAATACATAGAAACAGAGTTAGACAAAATAAGAAGACAGGATAATATCTCAAATGAAAGAACCAAACAAAACCACAACAAAAATGCTTAAAAGGAGATAAGAAATATACCTGATAAAGACAAAATGATGGTTATAAAGATACTCACTGGACTTGAAAAAGAGTGGAGAATCTCAGTGAGACCTTCAAAAAAGAGACCACAAATGTAAAAAGAACCAGTCTGAGACAACACAATAAGGGAAATAAACACACTAGAGGGAATCAAGAGCACATTAGACAAGGCAGAAGAAAGGACCAGCAATCTGGAAGCCAGGGTAATGGAAAGTAGTGAAGCTAAAGTGAAGAAAGAATAAAAAATGAAAATAGGTTAAGAAAACTCAGTGACATCATCAAGCATAATGTCATTCACATTGTAAGGATCCCAGTAGAAGAGAGAGAGAAAGGGAAAGAAATATATTGGAAGAAATAATAGCTGAAGACTTTCCTAATCTAGTGAAGGAAACAGACATCTGATCTAGAAAGAACAAGAGCCACCAGCAAAATCAACCCAAGGAGGTCCACATTAAGACATATAATAATTAAAATGGCAAGAGGTAATGATAAAGAATTTTAAAAGCAGCAAGAGAAAAGAGAACAGTTACATACAGGGGACACTCCATAAGGCTATCAACTGATTTTTCAGTAGAAACTTTGCAGCCCAGAAGGGACTGGTGATATATTACATGTGCTAAAAGGAGAAAAACCTGTAGCCAAGAATACTCTATTCAGCAAGGCTATCATTCAGAATAGGAGAGATAGAGAGTTTTCTAGACAAATAAAAGTTAAAGGAGTTCATTACTACTCAAGCAGCCTTGCAAGAAATGCTAAGGAGAATTCTTTGAGTGGAAAGCAAAGTCCATAATTGGCAGTAAAAAAAATTATGAAAGGAAAAAGTTTCACAGGTAAATGCAAACAT